GTAGACAGAAGCTTCTTTCCTACCCAGTCCTGTAGCTGTTCAGTTGCAAAGAAACATATACAATTTTATATTAATTATAAACTGTTTTGCCTATTGCTCAGGCTTATTCCTAACTTGCTCTTACAACTTAAATAAACCCATAATTCTTATCAATGTTTAGCCATGTGGCTTGGTACCTTTTCTCACTAAGACATTCTCATCTTGCTTCCTCTGTGTCTGGCTGATGACTGTGTCTCTGCCTTTCCTCCTTCCAAAATTCTCCTAGTCTGGTCGCCCCAACTATACTTCCTGCCTGGCTACTGGCCAATCAGCATTTTATGAAACCAGTACGAATGATAAATCTTTACAGTGTACAGCAGCATTATCCCACAGCACAGTTATAACCGTAAGATCAAGCTGAACAAAAGAAAAACTGAAATGAAAACCTAACAGTTTATTTACATACTCCAGTATAAGCAAGATGATCTCTTACAAGCAACCATCAGGGTAAAGGAAGATTGAGGGGCCTCTGAGGTGCTGTTGAAAAGGACAGAAATTAGTTAAAATTCCAACATATGAAAACATTTGGAAAGTTAAAAAAAACAACAAAATCCCAAATCCTTAACTACGTGTCTTAGTTGGGTTTCTATTGCTATGATAAACAATTGACCAAAATTCACCTGGGGAGGAGAAGGGTGCATCTCAGCTTACACTTCCACTGTGTAGGTCAGGCTGGCCTGAATGGAGCCCGTCCAGTCTGGAGCTCACTGTGTAGGTCAGGCTGGGCCGCGTGGGCGCTGGAGACAAAGCTCTAGCTTCTCCATTCAGTGCTTTTGTCGGTTTTTCAGTGTGCAAATTGTGGTTCTTTAAATGCCTATTTCCTTTACTTGTTACCTTCACTCCATTAGACCAGGCAGTATTCTTGATTATTTTAACTTTTGGTATATTACTCTTAATATATGTCATGTTATATCAAATAAAAAGAATTAAAAAAATATGATGTGGCTCCCAAAGGCTAATAGATTTTAATGATATGAGCCAGAAGTTTCTTCCTTAGCCATTTTACCAGTTACTCTTCCCTCCTGCAGACTGCTTTCCTACCCACCACTCGGCCTCACCTAGATGAGCTCCTAGGAAACCTTTCCCTGTAAAGTGGATCATTCGTATTTGTCAGATAGTATTACATCTCCCCTGACCCCACATGCCCAAAATGTGATGTCCACTGGGGATCAAAGAATGTGAGCAGAAGTTCTGGCACCTTCAGCTGACTGTTCTAGAAGACTGACAGACTCGTTAGGACTCCAGGGACACCGGAGGGGTTAGCATGCTGCAGAGAGCCTCTTCATCCCCACAGCCATCCCTACCCATCTGTGTCTGCTCCTCAGCTCACATCCTGTGCCTAAAACATAAAACCCTCATTTCCACCAACCAGGGGGTAAGAATCTAACCAGACAGGATCTGAGGCTACACCAGGGAGTTTCTCTGCTGTGCTGTAACCACCTAATTGATATTTCCACAAATGTATAGGAAAAGCACCTTGATTTCTTTGTTCTGTTTCTGTAAAAACTTCATCAAACTGTTAACATGTAGAAATATGGAATTGGGGTAACCTGTGTTCCCGACCAGGGCCACTCATATTTAGTTCCAGAATAAACTCTTTTATTTAACCCTTTGAGGTAGAGTTATATTCTTTGTGTCAGCAGTTCATAAGGGGGGAGGTGATCAGGAATGACACCCCACATCAACCACATGTACACACAGGCACAGGCACACACAAGCACACATGCGTGTGCATGCACAAACATACACAGGCATACACGTCTTAAGGCAACATCCCCCCAGCCTTGCAAAGTCATAGAGGGGTGTCCTTGACACATTTAAATAACCAGAACTCCACGCCCTTGGAGGCAGAAGACCTGCAGTAGGACCGGGGAATAGATATTTTAAAATAATGTCAGTAAGCCTTAAATTCCTCTCAGTTTGAGTTTCACTAGCTTGGAAAGTAACAAAAAGAAATAAGCATGGTCGTATGGATCTCTGTGATGTGGCTCACACGGAAAGCCTTCCTATATAACTCCATGCTAGGATCTCAGCCTAGCCCGGCTTCCATGTCATCTCGCCACCTGCCAGCTATGCTTGTCTCAGAAACACCTGGGCCCACAGACAGGCCTGTTACCAAATTACAAGGTGGGAGGAGGAGGGAAAAAAATGCCTTTTTTTCCCCAGTATTTTCCAAAGAGGAAGTTCTTAGTTCTTAACTTCTGCATTTCCTAACCAGCCAACAGCAGCAGTTACCACAGGGATACAACCTGGCCACGCATCTGCTTCTTCCTGTTCTCCAGGGTAAGGGACCACGCTGTCATTTTCCCATAGATAGGGTCCTGTCCTCTGTCCCGTCCCGTGTCCAACTAGCACTGCGGCGTGTCTGTCATTCTCTTTCATTCAGTCCTAATGGACAGTGAGTTAGAATCAGGACCTGGACTTTAAACAGCAGTGGTAGCAAAGCAAGAGGAGCTCTGCCAGGACTCTCACCAGCAAGCCGCCCTGCGACAAAGCGCAGCCTTCCAGTTCACCACAGTGATCCCGCCTTTGGAGACACAAACTTCGCAGATTAGGAAAGTAACAGGCCAAATATCTTTCTGCCTCTGAGTGATCCACTTCATGATGTTAATGAGACCTCCCTGACTCCTTGGGTTATGTGCTCACCCTATCCCCAGGTTCCTGTGTTAAGAAATAGAATTTAACCACATTGGTTGGTTTCAATATGGAAGCAATCCTCTGAACACTCATGGTTTTCATCTTGTTTGGAAGGAGAAGCATGCTTTCTGCAGCTGCAGCCCTCGGCTCCGGCTTCTGAAACCTCTTTTAAGGAAGAAATACTTCCAAATGAAGCAAACAAGTCTACAGAGACAGGATTCAAGTGCATCCAGCTGATAGTACAGGAAAAACAGCACCTGGAGTCAGCTCTGCACTGCACTAAGAGCAGCCTTAGCGCCCCCACCCCACCCCCACCCCGGGCCCAGGGCACTGAAGGAAGCTGAAGATGTCCTAGCAGGCTGGGGAGTGGGGTGGGGGGGGAACAAGGCTTGGGGGGTTGGTGTTGGAGCCTTAATCTTCTAATCTAAGTTCTCTCCCAAGAAGGATAACTTAAAGTCGCATCCTGTGTGTTTTTTTTGTTTAATACATTCCCTTGAAAACAAGCCATCACTCAAGTCTCAGGACTGTATCCTATCACACAGAGTGCTTGTTTTGTTTGTTGTTTTCAACCTAACACAAAGCTAACTGGGAAGAGGAACCTTAACTGAGAGGAGGTCTCATCAGTGTGCTGTGGGCAAGCCTGCATACATTTTCCTCATTGATGACTGATGGGGGAGACCCCAGCTCACAGTGGGTGGTGCCACCCCCAGCCAGTGTCCTGGCTGCTAAAGGAAAGCGGGCTGAGCAAACCATGAGGAGCAAACCAGTAAGCAGCACCCCGCCATGGCTTCTGCATCCGCTTCTGTCTGAGTTCCTGCCCTGAGTTCCTCCAATGATCAACTGTGATGTGGAAGGAGAAACTGAAATAAACCCTTTCCTTCCCAAGCTGCTTTTGATCATGGTGTCTATCACAGCAATAGAAGCCCAACTAAGACACATAGTTAGGGATTTGGTTTTTGTTGTGGGGGATTTGGATTTTTGTTGTGGTGGTTTAAAGAAAATGGGACCCATAGGCCCATAGAGAGTGGCACCATTAGGAGGTGTGGCCTTTTTGGGGGAAGTGTGTCACTGGGGGTGGGCTTTGAGGTCTCAGATAATCAAGCTGCACCCAGTGATCTGCCAGCAGATCAAGAGCAGAACTCACAGTGCCTCCTCCAGCACCAAATCCGCCTGTTCCCTGCCATGATGATGGTGGGAACCTCTGAACTGTAAGCCACCCAATTAAATGTTTTCCTTTCTAAGAGCTGCCGTGGTCATGATGTCTCTTCACAGCAATAGAAACCCTGACTAAGACACAAGTTCTTTTTTTTTTTTTAAACTTTCCTAATGTTTCTGTTCTTGGAATTAGTTTTCTACTTCTGTCTTTTCCAACAGTGTTTCAGAGGCAGGCAGCTTCTGAACTCCTCAGCCTTCCTAGTCTTCTTTTAGCACAAGGGTAGCTGAGATCAGGACCTTGACAGAGAGCTGCGTGAGCGAGCATCTTGGCTCCATCACTGCTGGGGCAGCATGGACAAGTCATCCGCTCACTATGTTCTGAATATCATCCCAGCCTTCTCTCCTTCCCCCAAACCACTCTGGCCAAGACACAGGTATTGCTCTGACTGACATGCTGGGCCTGTCTGCAGCCACGCCTGCCCTGCTTCACGATCTCACAGTGTCTCTGCTCAGATTCTCCCACCTCCCTCCAATTCAGAGTCCTAGGCCCTGGTTTGAAAGTGACAGGAGGGACTGTAAGCTCCTCCCTGTTCTATCCTCTCCCCAGTGTAGCACGATTCATAAAAACCTCAGGGATAGAAACTGGGGTTCAACCTGAAGACCCAAAAAGCAAAACAGTCAGTCACTGGCTCTTACCTCTACCTCAGTCCAAAATGGTGATCCTGCCTCCAGGAATCTCAGAATGAGACTGTGTCTGAGAGCTGTCTCCTCCCATTTTATATTCCTCTCTAGTTCTGGGATTAAAGGCATGCACCTGGTTTCTGTGGCAAACTCGTGTGGCTACTGGGATTAAAGGTGTGTGTCATTGCTGCCCGGTCTGTAAGGCTGGCCAGTGTGGCTGTTCTATTTTCTCGGTCCCCAGGCAAGCTTTATTTATTAAAATACAAATGAAATGCTATTATATTTCCCCTTTGTGTCTAAAATAAAAAAGGCTATAACTAATAAATGAAAACTATATACAATAAGTACAATAACTATATACAATTTATACAGGCAATAAATACATCAACAATGTCACCAATTAAAGCAAGATTAATAAAACTCAGGGATAGAAATTGGGGTTCAACCTGAAGGTCAGAGAAGCAAAGTAGTCAGTCACTGGCTCTTACCTCACCCTCAGTTCAAAATGGCGATCCTGCCTCCAGGAATCTCAGGATGAGACTGTCTGAGGGCTGTTTCTGTTCAAATGTTACTTTCTTAAGAAGGCCTTCTTACCATCCTGTAACAACCAAGGCCCCCACCTGCCACTCAAAGCTGCCTGTTCTCCCTCCGTGGATCCCACCTGCCACTCAACACTGCCTGTTTTCCCTGTGTGACCCCTGCCTGCCTCTGGACACTGCCTGTTTTTCATACCTGCTTCATTTACTTTGGAGGAAATCTTCTAAGTGGCAACTGCACTTATCTCAATTCCGGTCTTCCAGTACGTAAGCTCTGCACAGGAACGGCATGCCTGTGTCTAAAATAGTACCCGGCACAGAGCAGGCCCTCAGCAAACATCTGGTGAGGGAAGAAGCTAATGGACTAATAAGGAGGAGTTCACCCAGCAACAGGAAGCAGCCTAGAGGAGAAATCCTCACTAATAAGGCAGGACAGAAAAACAGGAAACTGTGGAAATATGATAATAAAAGGGCTTCCTCTGGGGTCCTAGGAGAAGCCTCTCTTCAGCTGGACCCTCCAAAACTGGAAAAGTCTAAAAGAAATAGATGAGTTTCTTGATATATTCAGCCTTGCAAAGTTAAATCAAGGTCAAATAAGCCATTTAAACAGACCTATAACCTCCAGTGAAAGTGAAGCAGCAAGGAAAAGTCTCTGAAGGAAACAAAACAAAACCCAAGGCCAGATAGATCCAGGGCAGAATTCTACCAGACCTGCAAAGAAGAATTAGTGTTAACACACCTCAAGTTACTCTACAAAATAGAAACAGAAGGAAATTTTCCTAATTCTTTTTAAAAGGCCACAATTACTAATACCTAAATCACACAATAGTCCAACAAAAACAAAGAAACTTATGGACCAATATCCCTTATGAACATAGATGCACAAATTCTCAACAAGATTCTTGCAAACCGAATCCAAGAGCACATCAAAACAATTATCTACCATGATCAAGTAGGCTTCATCCCAGAGATATTGGAATGGTTCAACATATGCCACTTAGTAAGAATAATCTATCACATTAAACAGAAACAACACATGAACATCTCATTAGATGCAGAAAAGACCTGTGACAAAATCTAGTGCCTCTTCATGATAAAAGTCCTAGACAGAGATACAAGTGAAATACCTCAATCTAATAAAGCTGATTCATAGCAATTCCACAGTTAAAATCATCTTAAATGGATAGAAAATCAAAACATTTTTACTAAAATCAGGAACAAGGCAATGTCCACTCTTTCTACCTATTCAATGTAGTATTTGAAGTCTTAGCTAGAGCAATAAGACAATGGAAGGACATCAAAGGGACACAGATAGGAAAGAATAGAGTCAAAGTATCTTTATTTGCAGATGGTATTATTTTATACACAATAAAAGACCTTGAAAATTCCACCAGAAAATTTCTATAGCTCATGAACTCTTGCAGCAAAGTAACAGAATACAAAATTAGCTCACAGAAATCAGAAATCTTATATAAAAGATAAGCATACTGATAAAGAAATCAAGGAAACAATACCTTTTACATTAGCCTCAAAAAATATCTTGGGATAGATAACTCTAACCAAGCAATTGAAAGACTTATATAATAAAAACTTTAAAATTTTGAAGAAGACACCAGAAGATGGAAAGATCCCCCATGCTTGTGGGTCAGTAGGACTAATATAATGAAAATGGCCATTCTACTAAAAAAAAAAAATCTATAGATTCAACACAACCCCCAACAAAATTCTAACACAATTCTTCACTGAAATTGAAAAAAACAATTTTCGATTCACATAGAAACATAAAAAAACAGGATAGTTAAAACATTTCTGAATAATAAAAGAATTAATGGAGAATAATAAAAGAGCTAATAATAAAAGAACTATCACCATCCCAGATTCCAAGTTGACTACATAGCTATAGTAGTAAAAATAGCATACTATACACATAAAAACATATGCATTGATCAATGGAATTAAATTGAAGACAATACATAAGTCTATATATCTATGGACACCTGATTTTTTTTAACAAAGAAAGTAAAAACTACACACTGAAGAAAGAACAGCACCTTCACCAGATGGTTCTTGTCAGCCTGAATGACTGCAGGTAGAAGTATCTGAAAAGATGCATACTTATCACCATGCACAAAACTCAACTCCAAATGGATCAATCCTCAACGTAAGACCAGACAGCCTGACAGAAGGGAAAGTGGGGAACAGTCTGGAACTCACTGGCACAAGAAAGGGGTTTCTTAGCAGGACATCAGTAGCACAGACAATAAGACCTCATGAAACTTGAAAGCTTCTGAAAAGCAAAGGACACCATCAGTCAGGCAAAACAACAGCCTACAGAATGAGAAAAGGTGTTTACCAATTATACCTCTCACAGAGGGTTAGTATCTATAATATATAAAAAACTAAAAAAAGTGAGCATCAAAAAACCCCCCAAATAACCCAATTTAAAAACAGGGTACAGAACTAAACAGAGTTCTCAAAAGATGAAACACAAATGGCTCAGAAATTTTTAAAGGAATGTTCAACATTCTTAGTCATCACAGAAATGTAAATTAAAACTATTTGGGGATTTTATCTCACACTAGTCTGAAGCACGATTAATAAAAACTCAGAGACAGAAATAGGGGTTTAACTTGAAGATCAGAAAAGCACAACAGCCAGCCACTGGCTCTTACCTCTACCTCAGTTCAAAACAGAGATCCTGACTCCAGGAATCTCCAAATGAGACTGAGCCTGAGAGCTGTCTCCTCCTGGTTTATAATCCTCTCTAGTTCTGGGATTAAGGACATGAGCTACTACCACCTGGTTTCTATGGCAAGTTCGTGTGGCTACTTAGATTAAAGGTGTATGTCATTGCTGCCTGGTCTTTAAGGCTGGCCAGTGTGGCTGTTTTACTTTTCTGATCCTCAGGCAAGTTTCATTTATTAAAATACAAATGAAATGCCACTATACCAGTCAGAATGGCCAAAGTCACTAAAACAAATGACAGTGCATCCTGGTAAGGATGTGGGGGAAGGAGAACAACATTTATCCCTTACTGGAGGGAGTACAAACTTGCACGGCCACTAGGAAATCAGTACGGTGGCTCCTCGGGAAGCTGGGAATCAATCGACCTCAAGATGCAGCTATACCACTGGACTCTACATCCTACTGTAGAGACACTTGTTCATCCAGGTTCATTGCTGCTCTATTCATAACAGTCGAATTGGGACCAGCCTAGCTCTCCAACTAAGGCGAGGCTAATGAGAATCTGGTACATTTATAGAACAGAACACCATTCATCTGTTGAGAAAAATGGGCTTATGAAATTTTCAGATAAATGGAAGGAACTCAAGAAAATCATCCTGAGTAAGGTAGCACAGTGCCAGAAAACAATTATTCCATGTTTTCTTTTGTATGCGAACATTAGATTCTAAGCTTTAGATATGTGCGTCACAATCAAAATAACTATGGAGATTAGGTGCATAGTAAGGGACTACAAAGGATGAGAGTCTCCCAGTGAAGTGGAAATGGAATAATACTGTTATATAGAGGCAAAGGGGAAGCCAGAATAAGAGGATTGAATAGGGAGGGGATGGGAGAGAAGGGTAAAGGAGGAGACAAGTGACATTAAAGAGCATTTGAAAACCACATGAAAGCCTACTACTCTATAGTTTCCTAAAACATATGCACATATGATAGGAATCTAAATGGACTCACCAAATAATAGCATCAACAACGCACCAATCAGACATTTTCTGTCACAAATAAAACCTCCAGTGCCAGGAATAGGCTTTATCATGTTGAAGTGCTGACCAAAGGAGCCCCCAAACATCACAGGCTATTGCCAAGCCTCCTGGTTACTCTCTGCAGCCATAGGTAAGGCCCTATTGCTGAAAACAACATGTATGTCATCGAGCATGGGCAGTAGAGCTAGTAGTGCCTTCCTATGAGCTTCACCCCTATTGACTGGTGTTTACGGTACAGGAAGGTACACTGCAGACTAATGAGAGGCAAGGGTAATCCTCAGTACCTCCCAGCTATAAGCCCTGTAACCTGCAACAGTGACTAGGTTGCTAGACATACTGGTTCAATAGTGACACAAATGTTATTGGAGTAATCAACCACTTTCTGACTGGATTGAAAGCCTACTTCATGAAATAGAGCCCATACCTCACACTGCTACAGTGGCCAAGAACCTAAGACTAGATAGATAGGGGTCTAGGGGAAAACCTGACACTACTACTCTACTAAAAAGACATGGCAACAGAACAACTTCTAATGACATTCTGATATAGCCATAGATGAGAGCGTCACTCAGCCCTCATGAGAGAAGCTTCTTCTTGCAGTAGATGGCAACCACAGACACCCACATCTGGACACTGTGGAGAGGGAGGGACTTTGGAGCACTCAGTCCTAAACGGAATGTCATCATCAAAGCCCTCCCCTCAAGGATCTAAGTAGAAGAGGAGCTGGAAAGACTTCAAGAGTCAGAGGTAATGGATGGCCCCAAGGAGACGGTGTCTTCCAGACACAGCAGGACTCATACGCATATGAATTCACAGAGGTTATGACAAGCACACAAAAGCCTACACGTGTTCAAGACACTAGGGTCCTAGCACCGAGGGAGGAGTAAGCACGGCTCCCACCCCAACCAAGAAGCGATCTCCAATTGACACCCCCTGACAAAAAAACCCTCATTTTTCTGCAATGGAATCTCACTATGGATACTAACCAGACCTTAAGGCAGAGCCCATGCTGTGCAGGAGACGGACAACACAAATGAACTCAGTGGTATTTCTGTAGACTTGTTGTCTCATATTGCTTGGGGGGGGGGTATTTTTTATCTTATTCTTTTACTTGTTTATTTTTATTTCTGTTTTTGAGTTTTTGTAGGGATTTGTATATGTTTGTCCGATTAATTTTGGTTCGTTTTTTTTTTTTTTGAGAGAAAAACAATATAAAGTTGTGGGGGTCAGGAGATGAGAAAGATCTGGGAGCAACTTGGGGAGGGGAAAAACATGATCAAGATATGTTATATGAAAAAAAACTTTTGTCAATTGAAAAAAAAGAGTAATAGTAAATTAGAAGAAATTTTCATACAATTATCATTTGTTGTGAAGGTTGCTGACATAGAGATAATGTTTCTTTCATAGATAGGTAGGCATTTTACATAA